CCAGTCTAAGATAAAAGCATCAGAGACAAGACTATCTTCAACCCAGAAGGACTCATCTATAAAAGAATCTGAGATTGATTATCTTAAGGTCGAATTATCTGCCTTGAATTCTAATCTAGCTTTGAAAAATAGTGAATTAGAGTACATAAAAAATATGTTAACTTTAAAAAATAGCGAATTAGAACTAATAAAAAATGATTTGGCTAAAAAAAATTCAGAGATACGCTCTTTAGAAACTAGACTCAAAGAGCTATTGCTCTGCAATAGATTATCATTAAAACAAGTCAAGATAGGAGGTAAGACAGATAAAAAAAATGATAATAATATATCAGTTATACAGTCTCTGCCAAAGGATCTGAACTCTTTATCTCTTGCAAAATATTTTGTATATAAGTCTAGACCCGAAGGATCATTGCTTCGCAATAAGACAGAGAATAGTCAAGTAGATAGAGATATCCAAGAATTTTTGACTCAACAAACTTTAATCAGTTTAAATGATAATATGCCTAAAGAATCAGAAATCTCTAATAAGAAGCGGATAAATAATGAGCAGGTATGAAGTAACATTTCTTCTAAAATAAGCCCAAAGTATATTATATCTAAAATAAAGAATAATAATATACCAATAAGAGAGATTGAAGCATTACCTGTTGTGATATTAGGTGCTAGCAAAGCTTTGATTAATTATAAGTATCAGATTCCCCCTATTGTTAAGCTTGTTGTTCTTGTTATAAAAACAATACTAATTATTTGGTATATATACAGAAATATTTTTCGTCCAACAAAAAAGGAAGAAAATTTTTATCTAGTATATAGAAAACAGAGTTATGGATTCCCAATTCACTATGCAAAAAAATTCAAAAATATCTCCTATGAAACTATTCTTTATGGATATGGACAAAGCTAATAAATATGTTGCATCTTGTTGTTAATCTTATCTAGCTAGTCCAACTTTAGAATGATAGTTAAAGGAAAAAGTGGATCAGGTAAGACTAATATCTTAACAAATCTTTTTCTCGATGATAAAGCTAAATACATATATAAAGGAAAAAAAGGTGGTAGGAGATATATTTCTTGTGATAATTTAATAGTTTGTAGTTATCATCCTGATAAGCCAAAATGGGCATTCATTAGATATATGTATGGTATAATTTCAAAAGACCCGAAAGCATCTTACTATGAAAATATACAATTTAGCTATATATCATCAGAAAAAATCCCTAGTGTAAAAGCATTTTCATCTGAATGAAGTATAGCAATTGTTTTTGAGGATTTGTGTCTTGCTTCAGAACATATACAGAATCGAATTGGCTAATTTTTTGGAAATAGGTAACATCGAAATATTTCATGTATATTTGTAGACAGAAATATAATAAAATATTCATGCGTAAAAATGCTAATTACTTAGTACTTTTTAATTCTGGTAGTTTATATAAAGATGTTTCTAAAATTATTCATAGATATACAGATGATATAAAAAATGCATCAATGGTTATTAATAGCTACTTACGCAAAGGCAAATTTATTGTATTTGATCTAGATAGGCCTGAGGATGATCCACTTGCAATTTGGCTAAGGTTTGATACTCCACTAGATTTGCAAAAAGAGATAGAGTTATGGTAAAAGTGCAAGATAAAAAATATATTATTTGCTGAACCCACTTCATAGATTTTTATTTCATATTGGTATTTTCTATTCCAGAAATTTAATAATATATTTCTCAATTGTGATCTCAAGAATAGCATTATTGCAAAGCAATAAGGCTTTGCCTCTAGGAAAACGGTGGACAACTACCTATCTATGTCTTCAAGAGTATCAATAGAACTAGCACAGCCAAAAAATAGTATATAAATAGTATAGGTATTTTGTACCCACAAAGAATTAATAAATGAATAAATACTATACTTCTATCTCTAAAAGTCAATTTTGAAATCTAATCTGCAATTGACTCTTTTTGTATTCTATCCAATTATCTGGAATATAATATTCTTTATATTGTCTATTAATAATGGAACTGCATATCATAAGATTGTTTTTATATAATTCAATTTATTTAGTATGCCACTGATTAAATTGTTCTTGAGTCTGAGAATTTTTTACTTTACATCTTGTTAAACCTAAAAATTTTATATCATCTAGAGTATTATCATTTGCTAAGCTGTTCCAAGCAAGTTATGCATTCGATAGTACTTTTTCTTGAAATCGTCTATATGCTTGTTGAATAATTCTTGCTAAACCATCTCTAGTTCTAGCTTTATCACATCTATAATCCCAATGTTCCTGCATCAGGCTTTAGGTTCAAGAATTTCTACATATCTACCTCTTGAGAAATAGTGCTTCTTCTTTGGCTTTATATCGATATTAACACGAATTACCTTCCAACACCCAAAGCAAATTGCAGTTCTATTCTTGAATAGTTTTGGGTAATAGTAATTAAAATTTTCTAACTTATCTCCAGGATAAGAAGTAAATAAGCAGGATGGGTAATATATACTAAATTTTTGTTAGAGTAACAAATCTTGAAAATTAATTCTAACTCGCACTGCCCATTAAATAAGATTTTCATCCTGCCTTATGATAAACAAGTTATCATATAATCTTTCAGTTGCAAAGAGTTTAACATATTGCTTATAACCATAACTAGTATAATTAAGGCAGTATGCTATAACATACTTTATATCATATCCAGGACGATTATTAAAGGGTTTGAGTAATGTTCTATTTTTTTTTGTCAATAATAATATGAATATCTAAACTAGACATATTTAGCTATTATTTGTCTTATATTTTTTTAATGATTATATAGTTTATAGAACCTATTAGATTTTATTAACTTAATACTTCCTTAATTCCGGATTCAATTTTTGCAAAAGGTATTGTAATGAATGAATATTGATTAAATATATTAAGTCAGAGGTTCTATCGCTTAATAAAGATGAAATTTTTTGCATGACTATTCCAGGAAGAAGTATAATAAATAAAAGGTAAGATGAATATATTTGAACTATTTCTCATCTTGTAGCTCAGTGGACTAAACTGCAGGAAGCCTGTGTAATCTTCTTCTCCTCACTATGCAGACAATAATAGTTGATAATCGCACTCTCTATAATAGTGTATAGAAAAAATATATATGGGAAAAAAATTTTGTATAACTATCATGGAAGTATAATAAAAGCAAAGTAGATACTTTCAAACTATTTTCATCATATAGCTTAGTAGACTAAACTGCGGGAAGCTCATTCGGTCTTCCTTTCCTCACTACGTAGACAATAATAGTTAATGATCACACCCTCTAAAATTAGGTTTTTATAAGCATAGAAAAATGAAGTTAGAGGCTCTATTACTCAATAGAGACAAACTTTTTTGCATGATTATCAGAAGAAGTAAATTACAAGGAGATAATAGTCAGATCCTAGGCCTGCCCCGAAAGGTTATAACTACACCTAAGAAAACTATATTATTAAGGATGACTAAATTGTATATTTTTTGCAGAACAAACAACCACCTTCACCAAAGTACTAAGCTACCAAATGGTAATTATGAGTATGTTAAACCTCACAACACACTTAGTTAGAGGCCCTATCGTTTTAATAGTTAAAACAAATTTTTTTGCATAACTAAGTATACTTGTAACAAATAGTTATAGCAATTGTCTTATCAACACAAAAATAATCTAATCTAAAAGGATTTAAAATTTTTCAAAAGAATAAAAAAAGGTTTATATAAGGGCAATCTAAACTATTGTTATATAGCTCGCATTAATATTAGGCTGAGTAGAGGAATGAAAACAAATATGTAGTATTTTTTTAACAAGTATTATGGTGTATAAATTATGCTTCATGTTTTTAAGAGGCTTATCTACCTAATAATAGATATTTGTACAATATAACCAAATAATGTTTCAACAATAATTTTCTGAATTTTTGATCAATTTACAAGTTTTATATAATCACATGAGTATACAGTAGTCAAAGCAAAATATATAAATAATATGCTATAAATCTGGAAGCAGATCTTCTGCCCTTAAATCTCATTAAGCATATGTTAAATTTATGAAAATATTTGATTATTAATAACGATAATAACTATATTTTTATATATTAACTTTAAAATAATTCATACTTATATATCCTCATCTATGATTAGAGACAGTGGAAGGGATTTGTATTTGCTTGCTTTCAGTTTGAAAAGTTGGTCGTGATAGTTTAAATCTTGAGTATTATTAAGGTCCTGTTCAGAAACTATTGGTCTATTAGCTTTCTCAATTCTAGCCTCAAGATAAGTAGGATTAAAATCCCATAAATTATGAAAAAATATATTATGCACAAAGTATACAATACTATGCTGGATACCTTTTATAACTATAAAATTATCATGGAGCAATAGACGGGATACAAATGCTACTACTTGTCCTGGCCAAAGATATACAACTACTTGAAGTTGAGAAAAACATAATTCTCCTCCTTTGAAATTCCCCAGTGTAACTAAAACACACAGACTATTTGGTTCATCATGATCATCCCAATGATAGTCACTAATAGTATTAAAGTTGATGGCTATCATTAGGAAAACTCCAAATACTCTTGGAGCGAATGGGCCTCATGATAATTTACTCAATTTTGTATATAAATCCATATAATATTCTTAAAGAAACTGATTAATACTTTCTAATAATTTCCTAAAACCTGAAGTAATTTACTGATGTATTCATAATGATTAATATTATGTGTATTCACAGTATTAGAGCTTGTAAAGAGAAGTAAATTGTTTCTTGTATAAGCTCCAAAATGCTCAATAAAATTGGTCTAAAATTTTTTACTTCGATGTGAAAGATTTTCTAATAAATGGAAATAGTACCAATTTACAATATTAGATGCGGTTGTAACAGCATCTGGATCATTGAGTTGCTTCAAGTGAATTAATGTTTAGTAACCCAAGTCTGTAATATACTTAGGTTCAAAAATATGTTTAAGTTAAACTAGCTTATCTAGCAATTTGTTATTATTTTATGCTGATACAATAAGCTGTGTTTTTTCTTTTCAACTTTTACGTATAGTAGCCATATTGAAGAAATTTTGCAACTCAACATAAGCAAGCTGAAGTTTTTTTCATAATAGTCTGAGGTGTTCTCACATATGCTTCCTTCTTAGTGGTTCTTTTGATCTCTTTAAACCTAACTACTGCCCAAAAGCAATCCACAATCATTTGTTATTAGTATCAATGTCCAATAGTTTTTTAATATTATTCTTTTTCTTAATAATATTACTATAAACTAGAGATAAAAAATCTGGAGAAATTTTGGGTAAGTTAATAGAATTATTGCTAGTAGATGTTTCTCTCAGTAACGTTTCAATAAGTAAGTCTTTAGCCGATATATTATGTTGGGTTCTAATTTTTTTAGAAGATATTCTATCAGAAGAACAGAGAGGAATGCTTCTCCATTCTCTATCCAAGTAATAAATATTGTCAATAGCACAATAGCAGACAATTTTCAGGTAGCAAATTAGATTCTATGCTAGTAAAATAAAATAATAGACATGAGTATTTTTTTTTTATGAACGATTGCAAATTTTTGTAAAATGAATGAGTCCCCTTCACCATACCTGAGATAAATCAAAGATAATATCATCGATTACTGGAAGAATATCATCATTCAGACTACAAAGCATCTCAGTTTGTTTTTGCTTGTATCTAAGTTTTTTATTTTTATGTGTATGGGTCTGTCTCGACAATTTGGTTTTAGTAAATTCATCCTATAATACAATCACCTCTTCCTTTTATTTATTATTTAATGTTTGCATTGCAATTGCTGTCTTTGGTAAAAAAAAGAGGTAAATATTTGTATTGCACGAAGTATAAGATTAGTAGGTTGAAAAACAAATAAGTTTGATTAGAAAGCCCTCTTTATTGGAGAATTTATACAACAAATTATAGTATGTTATTCAGTATTGAATTTAAGTTAATTGCATGTCGCTACAATAATTTAACACTTTATAAAACAATCACACATTGCTTTATTTGGCATCATAATAATTTAACACAATAATTTCTATGCTAACAATTACATATTTACTATATTTGGCACTACAATTATTAAACACGCCAACAATTGCATATTTTTTATATTTGGAATTAGATTATTAATAACCTGTTGAGTAGGTATACTTATACAGAATATGATAATAATTTTACACACTATATTTAAGCCTAATTTACAAATTTAGAATAACCAGTATACACTTTGTTATAATAACAAACCAATATCTAGCATCACTTTTTTTTACCAAAGTGCAAAAATAAAGTACGTATGTATATGTTATACCATCATATGACTCAATAGTCTCACAGGTCCACTTTTATTTTGGCCTAGGTCGAAGCTAAAAAAGCAAAAATTTAATATTCATGTTTATCAAATAAAAAGTTTACCAGGTTTAATAATCAATGACTAGCATTAAATTTTAGATAGTGTTACATTAATTTCTCATAGTCGATTTTTAATAACGAATATCTAGAAAGTATTTTCTTATTATATATAATACTGTGATAAGAAAAAGCGCAAATAGAACTCTGCGAAGCA